TGTGTGTGTGTGTGTGTGTGTGTGTGTGTGTGTAAGCAGCAGTGGGCCAGCTTGCTCATTCCTGACCCAGATCCAGAGTTGGTTAAAGTTCAACAGTGAGTCTTATGTAAACAGCTCCACAAATCGAAACCTCCAGCGAGTCAGCCGAGGGAGTTTCAGCCGAGCGACTCGAACGCTTCCGAAACTCTAACCCGAAAAATGAGGATAGAAATGAAACAATTTTGTCTGATCAAGACACTCGATTTATTCTTAAAGACTGATTATGCAAACTGTTCAAAGAGTCTGTGTTTGTTCCCAGAGGCACCTGCAGTCAAGTGTGCAGACCTCACACAGGCAGGCAGCTCTGAGGACTGCTCCGTGTGCATTATGTTTCAGAGCTGATAGTGTGCAGCCCGAGTCCTCGTCTTAATATGGCAGTTTTTTAAAAACCTACCAGTCGGTCGGGACATCAATCTTGGCAATTTTGAAGTTGAGGTCGGCCATTCCTCCGACTGGAACGCGGTCGCTCCCTGTGGCAAAGTGGAGGAGCTTCTTTTGCAGTTCCAGAGGGAAGGCCAACACCACGTCCCAGAAACATCTGCAACAGCACGAAGATCATATAATAAAATAAACAAATCAATTACAGAGACTCGGAGAGGGGAAGTGGATTCTCTAAGGGTTAAAACGAGAAAAGAAACACTTGGACGCTCGCTGTCATTCAAGCAGTAACTACAGAGAGAGAAAAGTCAAGAAAATAAAAAGGAAAAATGAATATCATGATCACTGAGAGCCCTGCGACAAACTGTCCGTCCCACCCCGACCCTGGCATTGCTCCCGTCCAAACTTACTTGCTTGTAGCCTTCAACGTTTCTCGCTTTGTTAACGTTTAAAGGTGAGTTCGATCGTGTGACATCATTTATATGATTATTGCAATCTTTATGTGTGTGGTTGAGACACCAACATTAGCTGACAAAACAAAGCGCAAAATGAAACTTTAATCAGACAAACACTAACAAGAATTTTTGAAACTGCTGGCATCACAGCAGGCAGACAGCACTGAAGTTGTATAACAGGCCTGCAGCTGCTTGTCAGCAGCACGCTGAGTTACAATATCTGCGGCTCACAAGTGTCGGCATTTTCCTCCCTCACCGCCACAAACAAAGGCCTGTGTGTGTGTGTGTGTGTGTGTGTGAGTGAGAGAGAGAAAAACAAGTAAGAATTACACCCTGCGAGAAAATGAATCCAAAGCAAACATTTGCACCCTGCACACGTTACTTCCACCTTATTTCAACAAACAATCAGAGCTGAGGAGAGACAAAAAGGGCCGTAATTCCACTTTATGGTCTGGAGCGACAATAAAAGTCAAAGGAGCCGAGCAACAGTAACATTTTAACGGGTGCGCTGACCTCATCACATTATGTAATTTGTGCATGGAAAACTTACAGTGGGGTCAGCCTAAAAACAAAAAATGTACAGAGGTTCTCTCTCCAAGCAGAGAGTGGGAGGTATGTGTGGACTTCCTGCGCAGCAGTTAGCTAGTGTTAGTAAACAGGAAGTGCTGGGGTCGTACCGTACGGTGGCGTCGGTCTTGCTGTATCCTTCGTACTGAGCAGCTTTCTGCAGGGCGCTCATGTCGAGCTCTGGACTCCCGCACACCAACATCTCCACCTCCTCAGGCCGAAGCAACTGCAAACACCAGACGATAAAACACAAATGATATACGATTCAGAAAAAACCTCAGCCGCTATGTTTGTTTTCCCACATTAATGTTCAACACAACACCAATTATTCACACATGTGTGCGGCTGTAATCTGCAGCTGTCTGGTTGGTGGGCAGTTTCCTCCTTTATAACAATTTCATAAAGGGGATTTTGTTTTGTAAAATATCCTCTTTGGTTTGTGTTCAGGCTTAAAGTTACTTAAAGTTGTGGTGTTGTAAACTGGTGTTGGCTGAACAATACAAACTAACTGACCAGAAGGTTATTCTGTTCATGATGTTGGACGAGAAGTCACATTAGGTCAATAACCAACATGTCGCATCATCTTCAAACTATTCTGACGTGTCTGAGGTGCAATGATTCGGCACACTTTGGTCTAATTCTAGTTTCCTGCAGGCTCCTCCAGCCACAGCCAGAGAAAGACTGGAATTTTTTGATCATGAGGTCCATCTGTTTTATTTCCTAATAGAATAAGACTGCATGAATTTCAGTCTTATTCAATTAAATCAATTGATGCAGTTTTATTTCTGGAAATCATATGAATGTGGGCTGGAGCACACTGCTCAGCTGTTCTTATTACTGCACTTCATGCAGTCTGAGCTTATGTTGAACTCTGTTTCTTCAGTGCTGTACAGGTTACACCAAATATGTACTAAATGGAAACAGTCCCTAAATTACCGATAAATATAAACTAAAGACAAAATAAAACAAATATGTTTAATAAACATAAACAGATTTCCATTTAATAAGCAGAATTTGACATTTTAACCTTGGAAGTCTAAATGTTTTAACCCACAGAGCTGATGTCACTATACAGAAGCACAGCAGCCTTGCCACATACAAGCTTCTTCTAAATTAATAAACGAAAACATAACACCACCTAAACACAGAATCGCTTCCGCTGCTCGGGCGGCGTAAGTGAAGCTCAAACAGCAAACGAGGAGGAGAAACAGGAAGTCTCGTCAGAGCTCAGCAGCTGATAGCATCCGATGTGTCAAACAGTCAACTTCACAGGAATCCAGTGAAAGTTTCACTTTATTTTCTATAAATGAAAAATAAACTGCCTGCAAGGTGAAAGCAGGTTATGAGCACGCAGCCTCATCCTGACCTATCTGTGCAGGACAAAGACTGAAACAGCGAACCGCAAAGAACGAAGGAAAACAAGCTGATCTTGAGATCTGACCCAGTTCACTTAGCTGCTAGAAACTCCATCAATACTCAGCGCACAGACGCAAAGTGTGAAACCCTCAAAGCCAAACACGCCCCCATCAATACTGTAGGGCTGTCTCATCACATCTTGAAACGTCAGCGGGTGCGGACGTGACTCAAAGACTGACAGTAAACGGAAGAGTCAGAGTCATGTCAGAAAAACTGAAAAAAAAAGTATTACTCAGAAAGCAGAAGTAGGTCAAACTCACGTCAGCACATCAAAACATCACTACCTGCTTTTAGGAAGTCAGCTCAGAAAGACGGCGAGGCTTTTATTTTTACTTTGTCAGGATAATCGTGTTGATAACAGCTTAACAAAATAAAATAAAAGTCATCATACTGGGAAAATAACAGACGCTGAACAAATTGCATTTACTTTATTTCTTAATCTGAGCAATTTGCACTGATCAGGATGGATGTCGATCAGCTTATCCAACGCTGTGGTCCAAAGAGAGGCGCTCTGATGTTCGGACATTCTCAAAGTTAACGAGACAACATCAAAATTAATTTGCATCAATTCAATCTTTATGTTGCTCGGAGAATGATCGAGTCCAAGTGACGAGGCACGTGTACAGTGATTTATTCTGCATAATAACCTCAAAGAAAACCAAGTTTGGTTTCTACACGACTCAGCTGGAGTGAAGGAGTATCTCTGGGTCTTATACATGACAGAATAGGCGTGTGTAGTGAGAGCCTGACAGGTGGATTATGGGTGCAGTCTGTCATCATATGGTCTGTTATAGTGACGATACGTGGTGCTGTAAATAGTGGCCAAAAGAACAAGATGACAGATACCATCGATGGAAATGAGCTCTCTCTGGGTTCAGCTTTACAGACTGAACATGCTTCTCTGCTGTGTTGGCAGACAGAGAGCTGCACACAGCCCTTTCAGCCACTGTCTGTGATTTTCATGCTTTATTTTTCATCTTTAATGTTCATCTCATGACCCTGATAAGGTGACAAACTCAGTCATTCGGCTGAAAGAAAGAGAAAGACATGATGGTGTAGGCATGTCCACTCAAGAGGCAGGCCAAGGACACTGGACGGTTTTTGTCTGTCACCTCCAGAAGAGCTGGAAGCGCCGGCTCATCTGGAGGTCTGGGTATCTCTGATTAGACTGCCGAGTCTAGGAATAGTTTGGCTGACTTGTTAATGTTTTATTGTAAGTTTAAATAAGACAGGAAGAGCTCTAGACTTTTGGTGTACTTGTAAAATTAGTTGCAGAAGAAGTGCAGTAAGCAAAGATGAGTTATGCCAGTGTTTCCACATCAGTGTGTGTAGATTCCCAGTGATGTAACTTTCCTCATTGTGCACTCCGATTTGTTGTAATGCAAAAGCTACTCCAAAAACCCAAAACCAAACACCTGCTCAGCCATCGTGTCTGCAGTCGTCTGCACCCACAATCACAAGCAAGTTTAATCCAGTCCTACAGTGACTGTAAACTGAAATGTATATATCACTAAACTAATCATAAATGATCAAAACCATCATAGAGACGTTCCTGGAAAAGCACACGGACACGGTACGCATGCCGTTTTTCCCCAAACTGATATAAGGAGGCCAGTGGAGCGAGTTCTTATCAGCAAGCCTGAGACCTGCTGCCACTTTACTCTTTACAGTTTGACTCGTCGTTTGTCTGACCCAGATTCAGACTCGGCTGAAAAACGGGGGTCAAACTGGGCAGCTTTATCTCTAACTGTAAGAAAGACTGTGGGTTTGACTCCATAATCTAAAACGTCCTACGAACACAAAAAATAATCAACGCATGAGGGTTTTCTTTCCTTCACGGTTGCTGCTCAGGAAGCGATAAATCTTACATGACTGGCACTATTTGAATTGTTTCTCCAGCAAATTTATACACAGTTTATCTCGAAACAAACAGAGAACTGGTATTTTGAGAAGCCCTTCACTGGATGGAGTGCACAGTTTGGCCTGTTCTATCTCCCTCGAGTTTAATTCGAATGTTTAAAATGTGACAGAGAAATATTTTAAAGGTGCCATGATCAGCTGGAAGGGAATGGATGGGTGTCTTTGCGTAAGAGTCTATGTTAAGAAATGCTTAAGAAAAGGATAAAGCATATTGGTCTTTAAATAACACATTTTGTAGCAGACTCACCATGAGTGCGTCCGATGCGCACACACTGTGGAAGCCGTGGTAGAAGGCAGCAAACTGTTTATAAATGGATTTATTCAGCAGGAAGTCGACATAGAGCTGGACATACTCTGTGGAAAGAGAAAAAACAGTTTGATTTCCATTACAAACATTTGCCCTTCAGCCTTGGCTCCTCCGTTCAGCAAACACAGCGAGAGGGATGCTGGTAACGAGTGGGCCCGGACCCCAACAAGAGCCACTGGATGGAAAATCAAGTTTAATAAGAGAAGCAGAGTTGATGTGCTCAGCTGGACTTTATCCCCCCAGGAGGAACAAAGAGGCTTTTTACCTGAGCCAGGTTTCACCGCTCGCATGGAGTTAAAGAGCACAGAAGGCGCAATAAAGGCGTTCCTCAGGATTACACACTCGAGACTCTTAAAGACTGCAGGACAGTAGCTCTCTTTACATTAATGAGGATGTTGGATCACAGAGCTGATTTCACGCTGGAACAATTTCGTCACTAAGTGCACTGCATTAAAAGTTCAGAGACTGCGGAGTCTTATATGAATCCATCAGCCCAGCGCTGAAATATCTTTCCAGCTATTCAGCGAATGCTCATCCGAACCAATCCGTTGATTTTACATCCAGCTTCTTATGCTGCATGCTTATCAGATGATGGTCTCAGCATCTACTGAATTTGCTGCCAACACTAACGGTTCCCATGTGGTTTGCCACTGTAGTTTTCTGGGAGATCACGGAGACGGTAGAGAACTGCAGACACCCGCCTACCTGCAGAGAGCATCTGCTGCCAGATGGAGGCTTTTTACAACACTGTGGGAAATGTGAGTCACTCTTGCTTGTGTTGTTGGTCCGTCAGCCACAGAGAAGAGCACAGTCACAAAACACACTGTTAAAATAAAAGAACAGGAGAGGAGTGTGCCTCCTTCCCTGTTCTGGTCCACTTTTGAACCCATAGTTATTGGTTCAAACCAGTAGTTCAAACCAATAGTTACTGGTTCAAAAGTTTTGATCTAAGAAATACAGCTATCAAAACTTAGTCTAATAATCAATTTTGCATCTTAACTTTGTAACACTACCGTTATCTCATGTCTTGATGTTTCCAAAAGCCTTTTCATTTGCCTCAATTAACCCTTTAAGACCTACCATAGAACCAAGTCCGCCAGAGCTTATATTATATTTTTACATGCTGTGGAGCCATTTTTGGGAGCATTTCAAGTTGCTATACATCAATACAACCATTATAGCCCAAATTTTAATAATATGTCTGCATTAAGTGCATAGTAATTACATAAATTGCAAAAAAGTGCAATAAACTACAAAAAAATTGAAAATCGTTTTTGTTTTTTTAACATATATTTCTAGTTAGAGAAATTTAAGAGGCTTATCCCTCAAAACTGTAAATACAAAAAAGTTGCACAAACTAGTTTCCCACCACAGGAAATTTATTTTAAGTGTCTTCATAGTTTTATTTTTGAAATACACCAATTTTATATACTGCAGGAAAAACGAAAATAAATATTATATGCAAATTTGCAAAATAACAGCATATGCATCAAAATAAACTATTTCCAGCAGTGCAATATGAGTCCTCAGCATCCCAGAAACGACACAGAAAGTCATAAAGTCAAACATAACTTTTAAAAACACAAGTATAGGCTCATAAGGCCCGATGGTAAAAAACTACATTTCCGCAAAATGACGTCACTTCCGGTTTCGGGCAGGTCATGGCGGACATGCGATAGTTCACGCTGATGGACGTAGGAAGTGTTACAAACAGCTGATCGGATCGGCAAAGCGTGTTTCTGGAATATTATGTTTTTGTTGCTGCAAGTGCTTTTTATGCAGTTTTTGCAAAGCTAACGTGACCGAGGACAAGCTGATGGCATAAGATGTAAGTACAACTCCTCCGGTTTCATATGCAAAAAAAATTATTGCGCTAGCTTACGTGGTTGCAGTGCTACCGGGATTTAAAAATAGTTACGCAAAATGGAGCGTGCCCGCTCCGACCGGCTCTAAAGGGTTAAAATTAGAAACTCTATTCTCTAAAATGACTCCAACTCAGATGCCTGGCTTTCAACAAGAATAAGACCGCTTGACAGGACAACCTGAGATCTTCAGGCAACAGTCCAGAGAGGCACCTAAAGGTGACTTTGCTGTCAGGTAATGAACTAAAGAAACCTGATTAATGTCATCAACAAAGTTTTATCAGAGAGCCGTTATTGACCTCATGTGATTATAATGATGATCCCTACGAGTGCTATAGTTTGTAGCTGTGTAAAAGGTCAAGTGCAGTGACTCTGCACATAAAAGGTAAAAACCATATCGTTGCCATACATGCTAAGTATTTGGTCAAATGAGATGCTCTTACTCCTCATGCTGCACAGTTCTGTCCGAAAAAAAAGACTTGGCATTTGCAGCAACGATATCTCTCTCAGTTTTCGGACCTCCGGATGCTTCACAATTTTGTACTTAAATGTCCTGTTTTGATCGCTGCGTGGACGTATCTGTGATCTCAAAGAACCAGTTTAAGTTCAGGGCATCAGGTCACGAGTGCAACCACCACCCTTTTATTACTTCCACAGTTCAAAGGCTACGCTGTGTACTGTTTACTATGAATTTGTCACCTAGGGTCAAACTGCCAAGTTGTACTGTAACTTATGAAGTTACTAAACTCTAAACCCTAGACTCCGTCTCTGTCATGGTCCTGGGTCGGTGACCCAGCGCTTTTAGTTTGTTATCATTTTCTAGATGATGATTGTTTAAGTTCTGTGTTATTTTCGATCTGCCTCTGAGTCTGCGTCTGTATCTGTCTGTCTATGGTGTCTCCCCATCTGTTTGTGAATCTGTCTGTTTAGTTCAATGTCTTGTCTGGTTCCATGTGTCTGAGTTTCCTGTTTTATTGTGAAGGTCCGTGTCGTATGTGAGTGTGATCAGTTTACGTTTCCCCTGTCCCGTCAGCTCAGATTCCTCCCAGCTGTGTTGCCCTCCTGTCTCTCATCCCCTGATTACTGGTGTGTGTATTTAAGCCCTGTGTGTTCTCCTGCCTGTTGCCGGTTCGTCTGTGTAACGCCGCGTCAGTCTGTGTTCCTCGGTGTCCTGCTCGTCTCTCTGCCTCTCTTCCCTTTTTGTTTCATCTCAGGTTTGTCATTTAGCTTTCCCAGTTCAGGTCTTTAGTTTTGTCTTCCCTCTTGCCTGTTTTGCCTTCTCACCACTGTGTAAATAAACTCACCGGCATCTCATCCACTGCCTGCATCTTGGGTCCTTCTTCTAACTCCTCACGGCTCGCCTCGGCAGCCGTGACAGTCTCAAATTTACTACTACTACTTACTACTATTTATTATGACTGTGCCCTTCAGTGTTTGGCTGTCTGATTTTCTGTTTCATACTTCAGAAGGTGAGTATCATATGCAGCACAGCTTTGCAGTACAGTTCATCCTCAATTAAAGGTACAAGTACTGCACTGCAGTTAAGGACGCAGGTTCATACAGGTACAAAATGCTCTTTGAGTGCCAGTGAGAATATCTGTTGCCTTGGAGGTGAGTTACTGCCAATGGTGACTGCAGTGTGGACTCACCCTTCCTGCTCTGCTTGGTGACGGGAATTTTGTCTCCTCCAGGCTTCAGGTTGTAGGATTTGACCACGCCCATCTCCTCCTGGAACACCTGAAACGCACAAAAATCAACATCACTATGCAATGGTGCACAAACTGTTGTAGGCCATCAGTGAAGAAAGCCCCGGCACTGGAACATCGAGTTGATTTTAGATCATGAATGTGTTTCTGCTTATCTTCAAATCAGCGGCCATATCAGCCAAGACTGCCAAAAAGAAACAACCAGGCAGTCACGGCGTGCTCACCGGTCTTGCTCTCTTACTTTATTTTTCAGATAGTGGTTACTTTCACTTAACGAAAGATTAACAATGAATTTCTTGGCAATCTGATGCGAGGACAAGAATCCAGGAAGTCAGCAAGCTAGGTCAACAAACGGCACACAAACAACTCATTGTCTCCATGTTGTGGTTTCATCGTGGATCGCTCAATACAAACATCATCAAATCGAAGAAAAGTTCCCATCTGATTAGATTTTTGTCCAATTGCTCCAACATATTTAATGAAGCCATGTAAAATTTGTCATGTCCTCAAAGTACACGGCAGTGGGTAGATCGGGCCTTTTTTGAGCCCTCATAACTTGTTAAAAAGCCTTTGTAAAAACCTGTTAGCAAATCTATTTAATTTCTATAATGGGATATATCATACAGTGTCAAACTTGTTATTGGCTCGGCTTGTTAATACCATGTTAATGGCTGTGCCGTAGAGGATATGAATAAGTGCTGGTACCAGGGATGTTTGATTTGGTTCTGATTAAAAACTGGAGGAAACTTAGAAAAGTACCTTTTGAGTAAGTCTTCAGGGTCATATCACCTTGTGTGATAAGCGGCTGGTAAAACAAGTTTCAGAATATTAAAGGTGTCATTTTTTCCTGCGTGTTCAGACCAGGTTGCAGCTTCACCTGCAGCTTGTTTTTCCAGAATATTCGACAGATGCTCAATCGGATAGAGCTCTGGGGAATCTGGGCGCTGCGTGAACACGTTCACCTTTTAGTCATGTTCTCCAGATCACTGCTGAACAATGTGCAGCGTTTACCCGGGCACATTATCCTGCCATCGGGGAATACCGCGGCCACAAACCGGTGTACATGATCAGCAGCAATGTATACGTGCATGTTAAAATTGCCAGTGCTCAAGGTCTATCAGCACCTGACTGTCCACATGATGCACAAGAAAACCTGAGGCACCCTTCATTCATCGCTCCACTCTCACACTCACATGTCCATAGTTGTGGCTGCAGCAGCTCTTAGGTTTGATAATGATCCTCAGGCACAAATAATCCTTGAGCTCAGTGTGCACCAGTAAGACCTACAACACCTGTCGCCTCATAGACGCTCTGACACATTCACAGTGAGATTGTCAGAGTTGTTCAGACACTGATGCTGGACATTTTTTTTGGTTCCAACACATCAACTGTGACAGCTGCTTTTGAAATGAAATAACCACTGTGATGTGCTCTTACCTCACCTGTCGATGCTTTCAATGGGTGGATGAGTTTTTTAATGTTTTGGTTCCCCCGGAGAGATTTTAAAAAAAGCCAAAAGTCAAACGAAAAGACAGGGAGCTAATAAGGTAGCATACTCACTGCCTTTACAGTATGTGTAATAGTTGTGCTTGTGCGCCTCATCATCCCCAAAAGGCTCGTTCAGAGCCAGGAAATGTTTAAAAATACACTTTCATTTCGGGTTTACAGCTATGGTTACTGTAGAGAATTTATTATTTCAGTGTAGCCTGCAGCATTGCTTACAGAGGGGTATAAATGCAGTGAAAGGAATACACTGAAGTAGAAACATACAAGAATAGGACACAGTGAGCCGGAGCTAACCAAACTGATCCAGCAAACTGTAAGTCAGTGAGTTCATGTGTAGCACACAGAGGTGCGACTGTGACCAGCCTGCAGCCCACAGGGAGCTGACACACTGGGTTAAAATAACACCTCCTCTCTGCTGTTTGCAGACTCTTTCTTCCCACACATGCTCCAGCTTCACCTTTAACCCCGACAGATAGCACGAAGCAGCCTGATACAACCAGACTGTTCGCTAAATATGCAAGATGCTACAAAATGCAAAGTTAAGCAGGAAGAACTCATTTTAAATTGTTTCCACAGGCTTTAAAACTCACACTGCAACCTCTCTGTAATCTGTTTGCAGTAATCTGATATTTAAGTCAGTGCGTAAACTGATGAACAAATATACTATTTTTGTGCATATTTCAGGAAAATGAAAGACCTGCTTTCTCATGACTAATGCAGGAGGTTGTGAGCATCCTGTTAGTCAGCAGGTGATTACATCTGCTGATCTAAACAGGAAGAGGGTTCTGAGGTTATTTTTTCTTTTAAATTTAGAATAAAGGGGTTTTTTGCAGGAAATATATTGATCCTATTGAAGTAAATTAAATGATTTTATTGAATTTAGTTAATTTTTGTTTTTGCTTTTAAGAGATGCAGCTACCCAAGAAAATGAGCAGTAGAAGATAATTTGACTTTTGAAGTCGGAGTGGACAATTCATGTACATGCTTCACCTGAAGTTTATATTCAGTGTCTGAATTGAAATAATAAATTTGACTATTTATTTAATAAGAGAGCATTAAATAAATAGTCTCAGGGCAAGATTACACAGCACTTTTCTTTCTCTCGCCTCCAACACACTTCATTCATTCAGCTCATCGTCTTGTTCTGAGGCAGCTTCAGCATTTCACACCCAGCTGATCACTTCAGAGGATTTGGAGCAGGGACTGGCTCCCCAAAGGAGAACCTGCGAGCTTCAGGATATATAAATATTCAACTACTAACTTACAGGAAATGGAACTTTGGGGGGAGGAAAGGATGTGATTGGTCAGTCAGGGTCATGTGTGTGTGTGTGTGTGTGTGTGTGTGTGTGTGTGTGTGTGTGTGTGTGTGTGTGTGTGTGTGTGTGTGTCAGGAGCATGGAGAGAACTTTGACGCATTTTAACAGAGCACCAGGATGCTGCACTACTCCAAAGTCAAATGTCAGAAATGTGATATCCACCTCTGTTTCACATCCACCAGCAGCTGCTTCACGAGGTTCCACACAGGATGGCTGTCAGTGTCAGACACACAGACTGACCCATGCATGCGCACAGAAACACGCACACACACTTACTTGGTTGCTGGGAAATCTTTTTTGACATCCACAACACGAGTATGCACAGAAAGCAACGACATTGTTGCCTTGAGGCAAGTATATCGTAAAAAATGAATGTTTTTATTTGTAGCGACACGTGTTCATTTAACCTCTGAGACTGGGGGATTTTAACCAGGAGCATATGGGGGAATGACTCCGTTAGGGCCAACCTCTGGTGGCTATTTAGCACTTCTGTGTTGGTGTTTGTCATCACAGGCTGATGCTTTAAAAAGATCAATAATCTGACTGAACCCTGAAAACCAGGTTTCCAAACTATTAGACAGTTTCAGACCCATCTGTACCAAGAAAGCACTACATTTTAAATTTTTGTTACTCTGATGTTGTTAGTGAAATAAACGTTCATTCGTAGTTTGTGTTTGACATTTGACTTCCTGGCTGGACGTCATCGGTGGAACCGATCCAGGTCACCCACTGCTCTAAAATTACCAGAGCAGTCACAGCTGTCTGTCGCCACCTTCATACACTTTAATCTTGATGTCTGTGGTGTGTGACTGTGTGCATATAACAGTTCTAACAATAGCTGCTTGGAAATTTTCCATGTAGTGAGGTCTCTTTCACATCATTAACAACCGGAATCAATAAAATCCTGCAGTCAGGTAATCACTTACACCTTTATTCAATTACAGTTAACAGCTGAACTCAATCCAAGAGGACAACAAAGGAAAGTCTTTGTCAGATTTTATACAAGTGGCATTTCTGCATTTTCACACCTTTTGCAAGAGTGGAAACATGTGCGGAGCAGAAGCTATTCAACATCACAAATCTCTGAGCTTCAGGGCTGTAACACAACAGCAAGTTACTTTAACAGCTTTAACGAGGGCAAGTCACATCACTTTCATTACCACTCCCCTTTTTTTCAAAGCCCAAGATTGGCTTCTTATAACTTGGGTTGAACTGTTATGAGTGCTGAAAGCAAACTGAATGCAATGCTGTGCAGCAGGAAGTTAACGAAGTAGGTAACTAAGCTAAATGTCAGCCATGTTAGCTGTTCTGTTGCCCTTTCTGGCTCATTTTCATTCTCCCAACAACAATTCGGACGATCGTTGGCTGCAACTGAGCGCACAACAGGAGACGAGGAACCGTCTCTAAAACCAGTTTGTCTCTTTGCTGTTGTTTTCATGTCCAAATTGCTAGCCTAATGTAGCAGAACCCTGTAGTTACCACTGGTGGCCACAGAGGGCACTGTTGACTCTGCTCAGCAAATCCTACACAAGCTGCTTTAAAAGAAGAGTTTTACCTGGAAGGTGAGGTAGAAGTCCTCTTCCACATTTCCCTCATAGCTTAGCAGCTCTCCCAAACCGTGAGCCAGCTCCTGCAGATGGACACGAGAGGTCGAGAGGTCAGAATCAGGAAACGCATGAATGAGTTGCAGCATTTTTCATTTCTGTAAGTCACAGCTTTTGTTTGGTGTTGATGGATTGGAGGGAAAACTCTGTGACTGCAGGTTAGGAATGAAACAGCGTTTTTTAACACACTCTCTTCTGACAGAACACGAAGATGACAAATGTCTCACACAGTTCGCCTGAGGTCTGAGCTCTAATGAGTTTAGCCTGGTTATGCCCCACCTCAAAACATCGACATACCTTAGAAGCAATAAATTAAAGCTCCGCTGAGCTGCGAATAATGACTCTGACGCCGATATCTGAAATCAGTAATGTGGGGACAAAGAAGACCCGAGATGCCACGGAAGGAACTAATCAGTACATTTATTTGTGTTTTGTGTCGTTACGTCATCGTCCTTCTGACTTACGATTGATTTTACAGTTTTAAGGCGCTCTGAGGCAAACACGGTGAACCCCGCTGGTGTTTGGATAAAGTCTGTTCCTGGAGAGTTTCCAGAGTTATGGTTCCAGCATCAACTCAGGCCTCAAACTATATCTGATTTCCTGCTGTTACACAACTAGGGACAGTTATAGCACCTGTGTGTTTGTGTGTGTGTGTGTCTGTGTGTGTACTACGAAGGAGAGGTTTGACCTTCATGAGGACGAAGGTGTTGGATGTGAAGCAGCTCGTGTATCGGATAACTCGGACTGACCGTCAGGAGATGTTTCACGATCTTTCTGAAGGTCTTCACATATGAATGAACAAACGAATGACAAACATCTTTATTATCTCTTGAAGTCACAGCTAAACTGCACGGAAACTGCAACTAAAATAACAACTACAGCAACTCTTGTAGCTAACATGGCAATTTCTGCAACTAACCCAACCATTAAAAAGTGCAGCAATATAAGCAAACCACAGCAACACCTGCAACTAAACATGGCACCTCTTCAAACTCCAGCAACAGCTGGAACTGTTGTGGCAACAACTGCAAGCAATCCAACTACAGGGAACTGCATCTGACATGGTGACTATTGCAACTGAATCAACTCAGCCTATGCAAACACAAGTACACATGCAGCAACTGTGGCAACATTTGCAAATGAACCAATATCTACAGCAAAGCTTTCAACCAAGCACGGCAAATTCTGCAACTGACCCAACCACCATAAACTACTGCAACTAAGCAAACTATTGAAATTGCAGCAACACCTGTGAGAATTGTGCTGGCAACTGCAATCAGTCCACAAAGAACTACAGCAACTTCTGTATCTTAACATATCAGTAACTCTGGCGACTCGTGCAACTAATGGTGGCTACTGCAACTTTGCATGTCTACATCTGCAAAAAAGCAACAAGTACAGCTCCATTAACTAACACATTAGCTATTGCAAACTAAACTAAATCAACCACTAAATTAACCACCAACCACTTGGTGGCTGTAATGTTTTGCATGTTCCATATCTTTTGTGATTTATTCGCTGCGTTGTGCGATGTGAACTGTTTACAAAGAAACCAGGAAACAGCCTCTGACAGCACACCGATGAAGCCACAGCCACAGTATGCTTTACTATCAAATCTCAAAGTTGCGTGTGTGATAGACTTTATATAAAAGTGTGTGTAAGCCAAAGAGAAATTTACTAACTAGGTGTGAGAGAAACTGGGGGGAGCACTCGGCAAATGAAGCTAAAGTTTCCAACTATTTGTTACATCAACAGTTGCATGTGAATTTGACCAAATCAAAGAAAACACAGCGAAAAAAATCTTGAAAATCTATGAAAAATGAGCATGCACAGCTGTGGGCTGGCACACTGCATGAAAAGACAACCCAGCACTGTGAAAATTACACAAGGGAATGTGAGCGGGAGAACACATGAAGCTAGGTCAGAGGAACGCAGGGCACTTAAATCACTTAACCCCAATCTCACAACAGTGCATGGAGTTAAATTTAGACTCCTCAAAGAGAAGGATTATGGGAAAGACGAGGGTGAAAGGCGAGCCAGAGAGTTCATAAGTTTAATTCTGGCGCCCTCTAGTGGCGGGCAAGTGTGAAAATGGTTCAACATTACAAGATTTAAGTTTTCCAGCGTAATTTAACAGCTCCTACATGTGATTTTAAGAAAAGAAAAACCTAAACGTGTTAGTGTAGTGCAACCCAGCCAGCATTCCCAGCTTAAAACACGACTTTGTGCCACTGTGTCTTTTACAAAAAGAACCTTTGGCACAGCCTATATGTGCTGAGGGTTTACCTTCTTTTCCAAAGCATGAAAAGAAAGAGAAAGACGATCCTGTCCAAACACAGGACAGGTCCCATCAAGCACAATCAAACTGACTGAAGAGAACATAAAGTCAGTCTTTTTTATAATGAAGCTAATCTGAGTCTCTAACTAGAGCGCAGAAGAGGTGTAATGAAATACCTACCGGCATGATCTGCTGCAGGTCGTCCAGGGTGGCATTTGCCATGCCAACGAGGGCATTTTGGTCACATGGTACAGTGGGTGGTGTGAGGAGCTTCCTGTAAGAACAGAAGAATTACAATTATTAAAGGTTACTTCATATTATTCCCTCTAAATGTTGGATTGTGGCGTCTGAAACATCAGCAAAAGTTTCCACAGCATCTCTATGATTAGCTGCAACTCGTGCACAGGAAGCTTTTGCAGCTGTGAGGTGATCCATCACTGACAGCAGCGTTACACTTTAGATTCTGCAGAAGAAGAAACACTGTAAAAGGAATGGAAACTCACCCACCTGTAACAGTAGAGAGGGAAGTGGATGTCCAGCGCGATGCTGTTGTAAACAGCTAAGCCCATCAGCTGATCAGACATGAGGTTAAGGAGGAAACAACACAATAAAGTAGCGCAAAGTAAAAATAAGCTTCTCTCAGTCCTCGGGGGGAGACTCTGAATAATTATGGGTCTTTTTTGTTTTAAGTTTGTTTTCATCTTTATTATTAACTTTAAGTTGTCTATTATTGTATATTTGTTTTGTATTTTTCTGCTACACAAATGTCACTTAATTAATATATTGACTGATTGATATTTCTACGCTTAAGTTAAAATGCTTAGTTTAGTGTTGAATGTGGGCGAAACTGTGAAATTACTGTAAAAAAATAAAATAAAATAAAACCAACAAATTGAACTTATGAACAGTCATCTAAATTTTAGCAGAAGGAAATGTAGGTCAGGGAAAACAAAGAAACTGTGCCCTTCATTGTTTACCTGTGAGCTATCATCATGTTACTGCAAATATGCTAATGGTTACACGAGCCTTTCATATAACAGGAAACAACTTTTGGGGTTCTGAACCTGGAGGGAAACGTGCAGAAGGTTCAAATTTATATTCCCAAACCCAACAAGAGCACTTCTCTGTTGGAGGAACTGCCCTCTGGGCCAGCAGCAATATTAAATTATATTTCAGTAACAAACATTTCACTTTTCATCATAAAACCTGATCCGCCAACGGAGAGAAGCATGCAGCTAACACTGCAGCTCAGATGGAGGCGAGAGCGTTTAATCTGTGCCGAGCACGAAGCTCTCAGACACACACTTTCATTTACGCAGTGTTGCGCACATTTACAATATCTAATATCACAATTAATCTAATTAACAAAAGAACAAATTTATTTCTCTTTCGTGCAGAGCAAACGATACAATGTCAACCTCTGTGTGTGTGTGTGTGTGTGTGTGTGTGTGTGTGTAGGTGATAGAGAGTTCACATTGTGAATGTCACATGGTCATACAATTTTTTTCTTCATTTTCTATGTGAAGGGCGGCGGCCCTACACACTCACAAACTGCTCACAGCTGCCGCATGTGGCGACCAGATGTGGTGTAATTGTGCGTGTAGGTTGAGAGTGTGTGCGTCTGTGATGTGAAGACCACTGTTACAGGTAGGTGACACACATGTATTAAAATAAATAAATCGCTCTCTGTGCGCACACACACACACACACACACACACAGAGGCCCCAACATGAAAACAAACATAAACTGGACCATTAGCGCAACCATTTAGGAGGCCATTAAGAAGTCACATACACACACACTCACACACCTACACACACACCTACACACACACACACACACACACACACACACACACACACACACACACACGGCACCTTAAAGCATTTAGCAGCCCTGGTTCATAAATCTACACTTTATGGGACAGGCATGAATAAAGCTGTCTCCCTCTGTCTTTTATCTCTTTATCCACCTCTCCTTACTCCTTACATGCCCACTCCGTTTCACAACCCCTCTCCATCCCTCTCTCTCGCTCTCCTTCCTTCTTTTTGCTTCTCTGGTCCTTAAAGTCAGAGTTTTCTCATCGCTGCCGCAACCTAACGAGGCACAAAGTCACGTGTAAAATCTGCAAATTAATTCTGCTACTGATAAGTTTTTCACACAGGAAGTGCTGGATAAACGAACAGGTTTTATGTCACGGCTCGTCACAACCTTGACGAGGAATACTCGGAGCACTGCGCAGCATCGCCGCTGCTCTGTGGTAACTTCATTACAAAACACAGATCAGAGTACGTGACGACTAACACAAAACTTTAGAGCTTCAATTAAATTAGCACACACCAGCTGACACAGAGGCCGCCTCGTGGAGCCGCCCCCTTCGCATGCTGGTCTCCTTACACAAAGACTCTCAGTCTGCAAACAATCTCTTTAGAAAGGTTTACGGGGTGTGATGATGGCAGCAATATTAGGGCTGAACAAAAGATGTTTTGCACGCCAAAGCCAGGGTTAGAAAATGCCGTTTTAACTCGTTCACACAAACGATTCGGTTTGGCCTCTCCCGTTCGCCTACATCTCTGCTCTGATGTTATCCTTATCCACGCAAACCACATATGCACATGACTGCTCGATCACAAATCCTCCTGGTTATGAAGTCCAAACCCAAAAAAACAAAGAAAACAGAGAAACAAACAAACAATCATCATAAAAAATACAGATTTGAACGCTTTCACTGGGATGCCTAATCTGCAGCTGGTCTCCAGTCCAAATGAAACTGAAAATGTTTTTTGGGTTATTTTTACATAATTTCTTCTTGCAGACGTTTATGATTTTTAGAGCAATTGTTGTAATTATTACAACATGGTACCAAAGCTAGAATAATGACATTCTAATAGTTTTAAGCTAGATATGATTTTCCTCCAGTTATTAATTATTCTCTTTTTTGGTCATTAAAAATAATATGATTAGTTACCACATATGGATCTTTTTTCACCAAATTCAGGCTTAAATAATCAGGAAGATGTCCTCGAGGGATTCCCGTTCCAGGCTCTCAGGAACCCGCAAAGACTGTAACGATGTGCCCGTTGGTCTGCACCATGCGACAAGGTGAAAAATGTAATTTTCAGCTCTTATTTTTATTTTCATCATCGCTCTCCCTCTCTCTGTTTGTGACACACTGTGCCTCATAAATGTGGGGGCTAAGTAAGTGGCTGACGGTCGTTACTCTGAGCACCTCTGCAACGTGGTTTTCACTGTCTGTGTGGCCAGAAACAAAGACTAAACACAACATAAGTGAAATAATGATCTGAGCACTGATGAATTAGGGATGTGAAGTAAAACAGCAGTTCCATTAGTCTTTGTGATTGTTAATATACACACAAAAAGATTTTTAAATAAAACAAGTATGTATAGTGTGTATAAAAGCACATGTAACTCAACAGCTGATGATTTTACACGCAGAGTGCTGGAAACATTGCAGCTGGACTTTATTTCGTTCCCGTGTTCTGGCAGATAAATTGGGTTTCATCTTTCCGTGTGTTCATCTCTCTTTCTCATCAATGTTTATTCCACTTTGTTTACATCTGTTTATATTCTGTCATTTCATTTGACATCCCCCCACTGCACCACTTTCCTTTTCACTTATCTCCCTCTGTTTAGTCTCTGTTACACACTCTCTCCCTGCCCTCTGCCACATATCCACAATGATACAGTGCTGCCATGGCGACTACACAAGAACCAGGGAGACAGATAAATTAGCTCCCAGCACAGACACACATGTGGAACATGCAAAAAACACCCAGCAGCAAACACACACGTGTAAGTACACAGATTTCCACTTCTTTCTTCTTTTGCTCACTCACTGATTCGACAACTGCACATTTATGTTTCCCTCATTACAGAGGACTCGCTTACTGAAGACGTACTCCGACCTTAACCGCCGCTGTAACCGAAAACTGCCTCATCCCAAAAATTTACGTTTATGGGAACTTAAAGTTGAACGCTGGATCCCCAGTGTGCGACTCAATAAACAGATTTATGTTCACACACACACACACACACACACACACACACACACACACACACTAACCTGGCGAGGAACGGCAGCTATTAGGTTATGTAACCTTTTGACAGTTCCCAGCTGGCTAGTAACTGAGCCCGAAGTGCTGAATCACTTTCTGGCCACATATTACACACACATGAACTCTATGAACACACACACACACACACACAAACACACACACACGCGCACATAAACTTTCATTGAGGAGAGAAGAATGATGATAATAACACGAGCCACAGGGAGGCTGTGCTGTGCATGAATGTGTAAAAAGTGAGTGAAACAATGCAAAAATATGCAGGTCCGTTTTAGGTGGGGCCGAGTCAAAATGAAGGAATGTCCACATGAACTGAAAATATTTTAAATTGAGTGAAAAATTGAAGCTAATCTCAGCCCTCAGCCTGGAGAACAGGCATTTTACATTTCTGACCACCTGACTATCATTTCCTTTTCCTGCATGTGGCAACTTTCAAGCTACACACGGTGCAGTTAGCTCCAACAGCCTGAAAGAAGGCGGGAAGGTGCAGCTGCCTGTAGTCAGAAAGCTGTCGGATACAATGTAGTAAAAAATGTATTTAATTTTTAAAGTTCACATTAACACACTAACACCCAGTCTTGTAAAACAGCATCCAGATGGATTTACTGTATATAATACTGTATTCACATTATTTATTTATTCATTGTAGTTGAGTTTAATTGGAATAAATGGTGTGTTGTATTTACTGTATTTAACCCAGACTGCAATCCTTCCCTGACCTTAACTAAAGTGCTTCTGTTGTTAAAACGTAACCACAGAGGGGACTTGCAGTCCCTGGACTCTGCTCCCACCATCCACCACGTCCACCTTCCTGTGACTTCTGCGTACTTACGCGCAGTGAATGGAAACTATGATGCTCGCGAGTTAAACTCAGACGGCAATTATGTGCCTGAAAACTCAGCGAGTGGTTGAGTTGATGCATGAACAGAATTTGTAGGAGACAAAGAAGTACATTTTGAAGTAACTCTATTACAAAACTCTGCAGAGCAGACAAAAGGGAAGAGAAACTGGACCAGAATCTTTGAGGACTGGGTGCCAGTTAAAGGAACATGTGATTAATGCAGGAAACATAAAACCTTTCATTAGTGTTTGTAATGCATCTGCTCAGAGGATCGTGCTTTATGTTCAGAATTGTCATTTTTGTGCTGGTTTACGTTATGTAGTTTTAACAGCTTGCTGTTAAATTTCCTGACCTGAAACTGAAGACAAATGTTAACTTAATCTTGTTCCAGATTGACCTGTATGATGTTAACTGTGGATGAATGAAAAGCTTGTAGTGCGTCTGTACTTGCTGCACTTACATAACAGCTACCAAAGGCCGCCTATAGCCCGTGAGCCACACTTTGAGAACCCTGAAACAGCAGGTGCAAAACAGCTGATCTTTGGTGCGTTTCAGGCTGAAGCAGAAGGATAAGTGATGAGCTTCACTGCTGACTGAACGTTTGCATTGACTTAATGACACAGACTGTATATAAAAGACAGAAGTAATGATGTCACAGTTTCAATAAAGCATGCCATGCTTTATTGCCGGTTACAAAGTTGTATCAATAAGACTTCAAACTAGCAGCTGAACCAAAAACTCATGAAGGAATTGTTTACTGAGGTCACAGATTTACAACTGGAAGGCAAAGGAAGCGCCCCCTGCTGGCCATTATTATAACTGGGCTGATCATGTAACTCATGTACTCACACTAACAACAAATATGACTCAAACCTACTGAGAGGAGCACTACAATCATTTTCTCATCAACATGCAAACAATCAGACTTCCTTTTGCAATGTAAGACGCTGCCCTCTGCTGTCCAATGAAAAGCAGGTTTAAGGCAATTCTATATTAGGCTGTGTCCATTTTTGGTTTACAGTCTGTGATAAAAACATACTAAAAGCAGTGAAGCATTTATTATTTAAAAACACACAAACCTGCTGTGATTCTATTTGTATTTGTTACGAAGCTCTTCGCTGAGGTCTTGTTTTGGAAAAATGATTCTGACCACGTCGATTCAATTTTATGTGCTGCGCTGAAAAAGCCTCCACAGAGCGAGGCGTATTTGTTACATGTGCAGACCCACGGCCTAAACACACACATTATAGTATCTTTTTCTCCTCTGCGGTTTAAAACGGAGGAGTGTTTGCTACGTCAGAGGGGAGTGCACGAGGAAAGCTCCTGTGTGTGGTCATTTGTGCCCGTCTGCACATTACACGCATTTATAGTCCGACCCTCCCAGAAACTCAGCAGTTTTGTCTAGAGCAGAAAAGCAGATGCTGTGAAACTGCTCTGCAGCTACAAAAACAATGAAAACGCATTAAAACGCTAACGTGGGAGGTGCTAAACAAACTGCTCCGATGCACGTTCATTAAAAAAAAAAAAAACAAATATTATTGTCCTTCTTTTAACTTGAACCGGATAACGTAGGCAACCTCGTTAGGCTCATTAGGACCTCCAAAGAGCTCATTTATAAAGCGCTTAAACAACATTTAAAGCTCGCACATACCCTGATGTTTGTTGTTGTTCTTCATAAAGGATACAGTCCCGACCAACTGGAACTCAGAGTAGTTGTCACACTTCCAACTGCTGAACCAATGGCAGCGTGAGTCCTTCATGTAGGTAAACATCCCTAAAAAAATGAAAGTACTACATTTAGATTGAACACATCTCTTTTATTTAATTCGATACATTTGATTGGTAGAAAAAAGGATACAGGAAGTGATGGAGGCAAAAAAAAAGAAAGAGGAAAGGTCATTTTTACGACAAACAGAGGGTCTGAAGAAGAAAAGACAGAAGAAAAAAGACACGTGGTACATGTAGTTGGACTTTTCCCGGAATCAGTGAGTCCCTGTTAAATTAAAAAGTGTCCACATAAAGTTTTCAACTCAGGACTTTCAATCAACTGTCCAAACTTGGGGGAAAAGGGATTTAGGTTGAGTCGAATTAGAAAGTAGCAGTAAAACTGCACTGAAATCAAAAGCACTGCTGTTACTCTGAACACAAGCGGAGATAGAAACCAAACAGCGCGGTTTGGGAAAGTGTCGACTGGACTGCCCTGCAAGTTGAAATGCGAGGCTGAAAGAGTGCCTGGTTCATCACTGAGATCACTGAGCTATGTCAGAGTTAGAGGTTGGTTCGCATCTACCCCTCATGTGGAATTTTAAATGCACATTTGGAATTTGTGAGAAGGGGGATCAGAGGGTGTGCACCACCTCCAAGGGAATTGTGGTTCTCAAAGGGTGACCGCCTCTGCAGTTCAGCAAGGAAAGGACACTGTCCCCAACTTCCATCAATGTTGTAGAGGTGTGTCAACCAGGACAGTCCAATGGCATCAATGATGTGATTACATCACTGCTGCAGGTGTAATGTGTAGGTGTGTACATAGCACACGCTTCTTTAGCCTCCACCTGAAAAGCTTTGCTGTTTCACTGCTGATCTGCTGGATGTCAGTCACATCACCTCTTTTCTGATTAGAGTTTCTCTGCAACTGCAGCACCTTGCTGACGTCCTAAGCATATTAAATATTTAATTAAAATAAATAAATCATTTTTAAAAAAAAGTAACACACAAGTTGTTGAGACTCGAGCGCTGCTGAAACTCTTCCAGCTGTGACTGAAAGAAACAGCAGCAGTCTGTTCAGAGTGGAGACTCACATCTGGACCACTCACATCTCTGAACACACAAAATGGAAAAGACCTCATGTATAAAAGAGCCTGTGTGTGTGTGTGTGTGTGTGTGTGTGTGTGTGTGTGTGTGTGTGTGTGTGTGTGTGTGTGTGTGTGCGCTTGAGAATGACAAAAGAGATGAGTCTGCCTTGGAAGGCCAGTGGAGAAGAATGGCAGCGGGTTCATGGTGGTAATTTTCATACCTGTGTCATTAGTAATGGTTCCCAAATTTCATGGGGCCCCAAATAAGACTGAGGGGATTAGATAAAGCCCCTCTACTGTAAAGAGAGAGGAAGGGAGGGAGGCACAGTACCAAGGAGGGAGTGTGGGGAGTGCGTAAAATTAAGAAGGTGCATGTTTCTGTGGAATGACAGTCAAGAGTTTTTATGATTACTATCTGTACTCAACACACTGGGTTCATTTGCTGTGCTTGGAAGGTCATCAAGGGCAGCCAGGGCTCATTGGTGCACATGGATAGCAAAGGCTGACTCGTGTGTTTTGATCCAACAGACGACCTGCTTAAATTGCCAAAAAAGTTAATACTCATTCTGATAGAAAGGTGTCAGAATTAACAGTGCATCACTTTGTTGTGTATGGGGCTGCACAGCTACAGACCAGTCAGAGTGCCCCTGTCCACCATCAAAAGCATTAACAATGAGCATGTGAGCATCAGAACTGGACCACAGAGCAATGCCAGAATGTGTTCTGGTTTGTTGAATCATATTTTCTTTTACATCACATGGAGGGCTGGGTGCCCGTTTGTGGATTACCTGGGGAACACCTGTCACCAGGACACATTTATAGGGAAGAAAGCCAGTGAAGGCAGTGT